AAAGCCAATCAAATTCACGAAATTGTACGTCGATCATTCTAGAATATGATTTCCTAATTTGGTGAATCGGCAGACTGTAGTTTACAAACATTATTATGAAGTTTTAATAACTTAAACTAGTTTTTTCAACCAAAAAAAATATATATACACATATAAAACGCGTAATTCAATAAAATTTATATTTTACAATTATTCGCTATTACCATATGTAGCACTAAATTTATATGTACTAAGTTGTAAATGTAATTTATAAAATAAATTACAGTCAGACTTCTATAATCGCAAAATTGGGATCATAATGATTGTGTCCATATGTTGAAATATGTTGAAATATGTTGAAATAGAATAAATAAGTTCCTACACAAAATAAGACGTTATCAATTGTTATCACGATATAAAATAGTGCTCACATTATGTTATGATATACTCTTCTTTTTCTTTTTTCCAATATCTTCACTCTTTTTACGTCTTTTAGCAATATTATCTATAAAAAAAATCAAAAGTGCATAAATACATACATCAACTTTAAATATTCAAATTATCGATATATACCCGCGTTTGATTGGTTGGGGCTTGAAGGCTGTGCGAGTGATTGATCCGGAGTCTGTTTAATATAAATAATAGAAAGTGCAAAATTTATTATTTCATAATGGAAAGAAAAGGCAACAAATTAACTACAAAAGTAACAGGTCAACGAACTGCATCGGAAATAGTTATATCACTTTGACTTCCAGTTGTCAGCTCTTGTATTTTCTCTTGGGATTGCGCGAAAACTTGATTTAATTGTTGTGTCATTTTAATTGTAGTAGATTTAAATGCACTCTCTACTCCATTACGAAATTCCAATAATTCAGCAGGATCTTGTTGGGCTATTCGAGACTCTTAAGATAATATAAATAAATATTAACATCTTTTGAAGAGCACATCGTGTATGTAGATTAAATTACTTTTACTACTTGATGTTCCCAACTGAGAATCTCCGACTTTCCATGTATATCCGGTTGCAGGGTGAAATTCGACTTGCTGATACGCTTTATTAAAGGCCATATGTAATTGATAAAGGCTTGTCAACTATTTCAAATAATTCTGGTCAGTCATTTAATAACGTTAAGTACATGACTTAATTTATTATCAAAAATTCTTACGACACGATTTCCGATAATTGAATATAAACTTGGTGCTTGATAAATATTATAATTCAAGATATAATATGTTGAGACTAGGTTAACTACGAATTTATTGAATAATTAAATTAAAATTTAGTAAAATTGGAATAGATAGAAATATTGACAAGGACTATGTAAACGAACCTTCCCATTCACTAAGACGCTTTTGCTTTCGAATAACCCACAGTGCTGGAGGTCTTTCCTGTACCACTTGGAATTCAATCCCCTTCATTTTCCTATAAATTACGTAAACTTCATTCGTATAAACATTTTGGGAACTGCTAATATATTCGTAGATATG